CTTGCCTCACGTTTTGCGTCGAGAGACATCGTGCAGCCCTTTGTTATCCACCAATAAAAGGGAGGATAAATATATCCACACACCCCTTTTTCAAACGGTCCTTAAACAATGATCACGATCAAAATTTTCTTAAATTGAAAGATTTTGGTCGCAATAAAGATTATTTAACTGCAACCTGACTGCAACCGATTTGCGTTAAGTATGTCGACCTTTGCCAATTTTGCCTTCTCAACGGTAATCGGTACTTCCCTCTACACATCATACCGCTTGCAAGTGGGTTACTACGGTGCAGTAGAGGGGCGCTGGAGGGAAGGGACCGGGGGGGTGGGGGATTCTGTATGGCAGCAAGTTATCTCCTCGTGCAGAATCTCATTCATCAGCAGCGAGGGTGGCGTGGCGTGGCGTGGCGTCCAGCGGAGCGCCTGCTGCTGCTTCTGCTTGGCTCGGCTATGGGCTGGGCTGGGGCTATCGGCCCGTAACTTGGAATGTTTACGTCCACGTGACGTCTGAATTATTGTACCGCATCGCTCCTTCCTCAAGGAGCGCGCCACTCCGCGCCGGAGCGAGCAGGGCTCGGAGCAGGGCGAGCACACGGAGCATAGCTTCCTGGCATTCCCTGCTTTATTTGGAGCAAACACTTCTCGAACGGAGAGATGAGGGGGGGGGGGCAGTGGCGTAGGAGCCGGGCGCAGACGGGGCGGGGGCGGGGAAGAGGGCACGGGTCGGCGCACATCGGCAATGATTGAATTCTCACCGTAAACTCTTTTCGCAGCTCATTTTGCTGAAAATCTAACTACTTTTCCCTTGAGTAAACTAAAATCGAAATGAGTCGGATCGGAAGTCGTTCTAGTCCTAGGTCGAAATGGTTCAGTAGAAATGAAGGCAAAAAGCCAGAAGCAACCGGCTCCGGTGACGGCCCCGCGGGCCCAGCGGCACAGCGGTGCGCGGCGGGGCGGGGCGGGGTGCGAGCCGAGAGGGAATCCCCAGAACGCCCCCGCCGCGCCCCGCCCCACCGCACTCGCCCCACCACGCACAGCCACGCCCCAACCCGTCGTAACGCAAGGCTTATTTTTAATTTTCCCTCTAAAAACACGCGGACCGACGATTGATTTGTAAAAGCGGCTTTGGTTTGGTATACTTCCAATGTTATGTCGCACACCCAGCGTACGCGTCGCCCCCCCCCCTTTCCCCTTTTCTCTCTTGCTCCCCTCTTTCCCCCCTCTTCGCAGACGACCTGCCTTTGAAAATTTTCCTATCGCCTATACTATATATACATATGCTCCCGAGTGATTTCGCGGAGGGTGTTCCACTCCACTCCGAAGGACGCGCGACCATCTTGACAACACTCTCTCGTTCTCCCTCTCTTACCCTCTGTCTCACTCACTCACACACACACACACACACACAGCCTGTAAAGCAGCCTCTAACGAAGGCAAATTGCCCCCCCTGGCCCCCCACGTCTCCCCTTTTCTCCCCTAGTCTTCCTGCTGCCCCTCGCCGGCGTGGCGTGGCGCGGCGTGGCGCGGCGCGGCAGGGGGAGGACGTAGTTAGTCGTGTGTGAGTTGTCGTCACTGACCTAACATATTGTGACTCGTCGCGTCGGGAAAATAAATTTGGCGGCAAATGAGGACGTGGCATGGGGTGGCGGGGTTGCGGGGGTGCCGCGGTGTGGGGTGGGGCGGGGCTGCAGGGGACCACGGCCGAGACCCCCCGGCCGCCGACGCGCGCCTCTATGGCGTTGTGTACCGCCGCCCCGGGAAGAGCAGGGCAAGAGAGTGGCTGGCGGAGGCGAAGACCAGGAGGTGCCAGATGGTGGCGAGGACGGCGTTTATTGTCCCCGGCCGGCGCCACCCTGGACCGGACGCGTACCACCTGGCCGTCGGCTCCCACGACCTCGGGCGGGTCGGCTGGCAGATTTAGGGCAGGGCTGTTGCTGCTACCTGTCGCGGCCAATCAAAAGCGTCGGGCGGGTCGCACCCCACGGGCCGACACCAGGCCGACAACGACACCCCGGGCGGCACGGCGGCGGCGGCGGCAGAGGCTGTGAAGTTCAGGGACCAGTGTCACCGCGGCCGGTGCGGGTGGCCACCCCGCCGCGCCACGCCGGCCACGCCACGGCGCGACCCGAACCTGGCCGGTGTCCAAACCACAGCAGGACCCCCATCACCTCATCAACAAGTAGTGGTGCGTGCGCGACGACGGGGTGGTGTGACCAGGGTGGCCTGACCACGGCGGCGTCTGACGTGTCCGTCAGCAGGTTGGGTTGGCCTCGCGCCCCACTCCCCCCCCCCCTCTTGCTTCCCCGCTACGTTACGGGGCGTCGGGCGTGGCCCGGCGTGGCCGCAGTGAAAGTGGATGTCGTCTGGTTGTTCGGCGGGCGCAAACAGAAGCGCCCCCTGGTCCACGCCCCGCTACGCGCGCTACGCCTCGGCGACAGCCCCACGCCCCTTCTCTTTCTCGCTCGCTCCGACTCGCTATATCCTCTCTACTGCGCCCACCTCTTTCTCTTCGTACACACTAGACCCCATCAATGCGTAAACAATGCACCTGTGCGATGTTTCCGACGGCCCTGTCCTGCCAAGGGACGCGGAGGGAGCTGGAGGGGACCAGCAAGTACAGTACGCAGGCCGCCGGTCCGGAGCGGCAACGCCACTGTGTCTTCTCTGGCCTGGTGGGCACCGGGTGCAAGGGCTAGCGGGGCAGCGCCGGGGCTGCGGGGCGGGGGAGGGGGCGGGGAGTGAGGGGACAGCAGAGCTGAGCAGAGCAATGGGCATGGCGCCCCCTCATAACGGTTACAGCTGACCCTTGCGTGCGAGCGCCGGGCCCACGCCCCGCCCCGCCAGCCGCTCGCCTCCGGCGCAGGTCCGGAGAGGGACCCAGCCGAGGTGCAAAGGCGATGCACCACACCCGGGACGGCGGCGCCGAACACGCGGAGCACGGAAGGTGCATCGTGGCGGGTTGTCGCCCACCCTTTACACTTTCAATTCGAGGTCAGCGGCAGCGGGCGGTGTGAGAGAGGTATACCCGATCCCCCCTCCCTTTCAACGTACTCCAGCCACCCGTGTTTCATGGATGCCAGTTTCCGCCTTGGTTCCGCCGCCGCCGCAACGCACCCGCAGGCACGGCGGCGACAGGGGCGGCTGGGCTGCCCGGCTGCTGCTGCCGGTCGGGCGTCGGTGAAACAAACACAGGTTTATCGTACCTTTGCTATATATACGTGACGTTTAGGCCTGAATGACAAATGCGGTCATAAAAGGAGTCCGGCCGGACCGGGCGCCCCTCCCCCTCCACCCCTCGCGCCTGCAAAAGTGTCCCAGCCGCCAGGAGCACGGCTTCCTGCGGGCGGGGCGAGGGCGCGTCCCTAAGCTGGCCTCAGACGTGCAGTACGGGGTGACCACTATGTGGCCACAGGCATCAACAGTGAGCCGCACTCAACGTGTTAGGGGCCGCGGACCAATTTCAATGTGATGTGTGTGTGTCCATCCATTGCAATTTCGGTTTTTGACCATGTTACCCGTTGAGTCTGACCGCCATCCGAATAAGAGGGAAGGACTTTGTGGCTTGTCGAGTGATCGGACGTCCTCCATCCATGGCTCGGCGACTGCTTGGATGGTGCTCGCCAAATAGGCCCGGGCAGCCAGGTCTGAGGCCGCTTTCAGCCACTTGACTGATGCTGGCCAGACTTGGGAATAGAGAAGTGAGAGAGATATAGGATAAGGGAGTGAAAGGGTGGGAAACAGAGAGAGAGAGAGAGCTCTCTCTCGAGAGGGATTTGATCAGACAACTTAGTATGCCTAGTACAGCTAACCATAGCAAACTCATGCTGCTTGTGTACTCGTGCAGCACTGTTGCAGATTCAACTCTAAGCCGCGGTTACAGTCACACATGTTACGTCGGTAGATAAACGTCCAAAATTAGTTTAGCTATGTCACTCGTTTTCTAGTTGGCTAAACTAGAAGGGACAAGAGTTCTCTTTCGCATCGCGCGGCGATTACTGACCGAGCAACTCAAAAAAAAAAAACTCGCATTTTGTAATAAGAATAAATTAATTTTTTTTGAGCTGGAGGATTATCGGTGAAAGCCCTTTCGGATCCCTCCGACGATAAAATAAAATTAATAGACCACCTGACATCCCGGAGCGTGACCCGCGCAGTAGTCGAAACGGAGACGAGAGGAAAAAGACATTAGAATAAAATCAAAATGATCCGTAAATTAAGATACCGCGACGCATGATATATGCGGCGCGGCGCCGCGCAGGAATCTCCTTCTTTCCTCTCATTTTCTGATTAGCTTTTATGGCCGGCGATGACTGCAGCTCCTGGAGATGTCCAGTCGACCGGAGACCAGAAGGACGGCATGCACGGGGCCCTACGTCGGCTCTGCGGAGACACCCGTCGTCGGCGGCGGCGGCGTCGGCCAACCGCCCGGCTACCCAGCCCTCCTGGCTTCCCCCTTCCGCATGCCCAACCTTCCTTGACTTCCCTCTGACTGGCTCCCAAGTGATAATTACAGGAGCCCTCCTCCCCCCTCCCCTCCTCGGTAGGTCCCAGACTCCTGGACCGACGCCGAGCTGCTCGCGGCCGGCCGGCAAACAAGGGCTGCAGCAGGGGCGCGGCCGCCGTTGGCCGCCGTTGGCCGCCCCGCGGCCCGCGAGTCTCCCCGGCCGGCCGGCCCCCTGCCTGCATACCGGTTTGAGCACGGCGGCGCGCCGCGGCGGGGCGGGACATGGAGGCGCGTGTGATGCCGAGTTAAGCCGCCCGCAGCACACACTGTGTGAGAGTACACAGCACGCTGGGCTACTTGATGGACATTGATCCTGCCTGCCTGCCCGCGCCCTGTCTGCCTGCGCCTTTTCGCGGCTAGGGCTCGGGCGGGAGTTGCTCCATCTCACTCGCAGGGCATTAACTTCAAGTAACACTGTTTAGAGTGCGGCGCGCGCCGGGGTGCCCCCGCCGGGGCGGGGCCGGGGCGCCGGGGGCCGTAAGGCTTCATTCACTCACCCTTTAGAGTCGCTGCTGGTCCGGGGCTGCTGGGCCTGGCGCCCGGGCGAGGCGAGGATGAGGGCGGCGCGGTGCACGGCTCGTCGGGAGGTCTCTGTGTCTCTGCAGGGGCGGGTAGCACCGCGACCGTCCAAGCTGGGGGGTCCGGCACGCACTCTCTGGATCTCTCTCACACTCTCTCTCTCTCCCTTCCCTCTCACTCTATTCCTCCTGCTCTTGAGCACACGCACTGCCCGTTAGCCGGGCGCGGGGGACATGGACGACGTGGACATCTTCATGGCGGGCAAGGCGAGGAAGGCGGTGCCCTGTCGCTCTCCGGTGGACGGGGTGCGCGCCGGGCGCGGGGGCGTAGGGGCCGGGAGGGGTGGAGGGGGCGGGGGGCGACTGTCACCAGCTAGGGGGTCACCGCCGACGACAACACTGGGAGGAGGATTATCACTCGACACTCTAGAGCGCACACACACACTGGCGGGTAATCCAAGCGCGGTCGAGCGCACCCGGCTCGCGGCGGTGTTGAGGAGGACGCGGCGCAGCGGCACGCCGACGACGGCCGGGTCGGGCGACAACGACACGAGACGGGATGGACGGGCCGAGCAACCTTCCCCGGGGACGGCACAGCATGCTCTGGCTGCGCTGCGGGCGGGCGGAGCGGAGCGGAGCGCGGTGGACTCCGCCGCCCCGCGCCGCCCCGACCGAGCTGGCGGCCCCACCCGCCCCGAGCCGCCGCCGCCGCCTAGCCGCGCCGGCCGGCTCTGCCTGCCTGCCAGCCTCGTCCGTCCGGCCGCGCCGTACCGGTACCGGAGCGAGACAGGGAGAGGTGCACCGCCGCACCCACTACTGCACCCCTGGCGGCCACCACCGGCCACTGCCACCCGCCAATCTAGGCGATTACAGATCCGAGCTTGATTCGAGCGGATTCGAGTCACATCGCGTTGGTTCCGCCGCCATTTTGTTCTCCTCGTATCGGGACCGCGCGCGCCGGCGGCGCCAGCTAGCTCCAGAGCCGCGCTGGATTGGCTTTCCCCGCGGTTAACCTTGCGCTGCCGGAGCCCTCACCGCCGGGGGTCATGTGTGCAACGCGTCATCGCGCAGCTGCACACTGTCAGAAACTGCGTTCCCGAAAAGAACTAATCGTTTTGTCCGATCAATGAGGAAGTTGCCCGATAAGAGGAACAAGAAGAAGGTAGCACTGGAGGTGGCGTGGCCCAGAAGATGAGCGACCGTCAAGCAGAGGTTAGGATGCGTGTCGTTAGATTTCAAACAGTTTAGAAGGGGCCTATACACCCAGCACCTTGGTACCACCTACAGTATACCAAAGCTTTTTACGACAGTTGAGTCATTATCATTTAGTTAAAATTGTACCAATGCTATATATGTCCGCGTACACTAACCTAACAACGACACCGGGACGGTTTAGAAGATTGTATAAACTTACTTTTCCGAAGCCAAACTTTACAGAAGCACTTTTTGACACAAGATTGTTACGCCGGTCT